CGACACCCAACCCCGCCGAGCCCCGCGTTTACCTGAGCAGCTGGGCCGTGCGGGTGGCGGCGGCGGGGCCGCGGGAGGCGGCGGGGGTGGCCCGGCGGCACGGCCTGCTCTGCCTGGGCCAGGTGCGGCCTGCTCGGGGGGGCCACCATGGGGAGGGCAGCCCAGCTCCTCCCGGCCACCCCACACCCCTTCACTCATTCCCCCGACACCAGGTGTCCCAGAGCCCAACGCTGGTTTAATTTTAAAACGGAGCATTTCAGTTATTCCCTCCTGTGGCTGAGGGGAGACCTTCTTGCTCTCTCCAACTCCCTGAAAGGAGGGTGTAGCCAGGGGGGGTCGGTCTCTTCTCCCAATGAACAGGCCATGGGACAAGAGGAAACGGCCTCAAGTTGCTCCAGGGGAGGTTCAGATGGGATATTAGGAAGAATTTTCACACAGAAAGAGTTATTAAGACTTGGAATGGGCTGCCCAGGGCAGTGGTTGAGGCACCATCCCTGGAGGGAGTTAAGAGACAGGTTGACATAGTGCGTATAGACACGGGGTAGTGATGGTTTATCAGAGTTGGGGTGATGGTTGGACTCCATGATCTGAAAGGTCTCCTCCAACCCAGACAATTCCATGATCCTAAAGCCCCGGAGGTGGATGAAAGCACAAACGCAGGCAGGGCTGCTCATGGCCCCCATGTGTGGTGAGGAAACCCAAAAATGGGACACACCAACCTACCCCGGGAGCCTGCCCCATGTCCGAGCGGTGCTCTCTGCTCATCCTGACACCAAAAACTCACTTTCTGATCTCTGGGGCCCATGGGGAGCTGGCACACGCACCCCAGCCCAAAAGGGTCTCTCAGAGCAGCTCTTTGGCCCGCAGGTGATGGAGGGAGAGCCTTACTACCACTTCAAACACCGCGGCACCAGGCAGAAAGCCTTAAGCAGACACTGGGGCTGGCACATGCGCCTGACAAAAGACCCCAAGGTAGGGTGGAGGTGACCAGGGGGACAGAGGCCACCAGCCACCGGCTCTGCCTGCCACCAGCAAGGCTGCTTCCCACCCAGGTCCTCTGGTTTGAGCAGCAAACCCTAAAGAGACGCGCGAAGAGAAGCGTCAGCGTGGTGCCCACAGACCCCTGGTTCCACAAGCAGTGGTACATGGTGAGATGTTGCCGCTTTCTCTTTTAATCCTCGAGTAAATCACCTCCCTGACAGGTAAACAGGACTAATGCTGGCGGTGCTGAGGCAGCAGAAGAGCCCTTGAAGGTCACCCACAGCCTGCCACCCCAGGGGGTGTGTGTGTGTGACCAAATTTAATCCGTTTTCCAGAACAATGACATCAATCCTGACCTGAACATCCTCAGCGCGTGGAGCAAAGGCTACACCGGGCGGGGGGTGGTGCTGACCGTCCTGGACGACGGGCTGGAGAAGGACCACCCGGACCTGGCTGCCAACTACGTAATTACGAGGGGCTGAGCAGCGAGGGCTGCAGGAACCAGCTCCTCGGGGGCGAGGGTGGGAGCTGGTGCCTTCATCCCATCCGTGGGGCGTTGCAGTGGGAACTCAGCCTCGCCGTGGTTGGATCAAAAAGGTTTGGTGTCTCCCGCCATGAAACCTCAGAATGAGGAAACGTCGGAACTTGCACACGCTGGAGCCCCCGTAATAGGTGTAATTACAGCAAGCTGCCGAGCCAGTAAAGCTGGTAAACCCTTACATGCTCCGGGAGGGAAGGATCAGTAAATCTTTGCTGTTGTTTATAACAACACCTTTCCAGTAGTTTGTTGTTCCTCTCTCCTACCTGTGGGGCCGGCGAGGCTCACTCCTGGGTGACTCGCCGTGCTGGGCTTTGTCACCGAACGTGAGCACCATGAAGCAGTTAACACTCCTGTAAATGAAACCCCGTTTCCAACCACTCCAAGTTAACCTGGCACAGTCTTTGGGTGCAAAGGGGCCCCCCCTGCCCTCTCGGGGCCGGGCAGGCAGCGAGCTCAGGGGCAAGGCAGGGCAACCCACGCTGCCAGACGGTGGGCGAAGGGCCAGGAGCCCGGGCTGAGCTCACACAACCCTCCCCGAGAGGCAGTTTGCTCACCCCGGTGCCTCTTCTCGCAATAGGACCCCCTGGCAAGTTACGACTTCAACAGCAACGACCCTGACCCCCAGCCCAGGTACACGGCAAGGGATGAGAACCGGTGAGTTTTGCCCATCACCCTGAGCTGGGGGGTTTATTTCCTGGGGGCTGAGGCTCCCCCAGGACCCTTTTCCCCCATCCTCACCCCCCAAGAGTGGCTCACAGGCTAACTGACCCACAGGCACGGGACACGCTGTGCGGGAGAAGTGGCAGCTGTAGCCAACAACCAAATCTGCGGAGCAGGCATCGCGTACAATGCCAAAATCGGAGGTGAACCATTGCTCCAGCGTGGTGGTGGGACAGGGAGTCACCAAGCAGCTCTGGCAACCTTGGGGGGGAACATATGGCCCCAGGGGGGACTTCTCTGGGGCCAGCTAGAGACTTGCAGGGGAGTAGAAGGTGCTGAGGTGTTGTCACACACCCAGCCGTGGAGAACTCTGTGTTCCCCAGGGGTTTAATGCCCACCACGACCCAGGGGTCCAGCAGGCAGCACCAGCCCTGTGCAGGACCGGGCTCCCCTGCAGAAGTGAGCGTGGCAAATGGGGGTTAAAAGCTGGGAGAGCTCACTGGGCTTAATTGCAAAGGGCTTAACGAGGAGCTTTGTGAACCAGCTCACGGCAGCAGCCGCAGGAGCCTGATCTCCTTAGGGCAGCATCCTGTGAAAGGTGCTCAAAGCATCTCGGGGCAGGGGGGGGAAGTGGGGGCCGGCGAGAGGCTGCTCAGCCCTTGTGTTCACACTGTGTGTGCAAGGCTCACACCCAGCCGGAGCCGCCGTGGCCACCCGAGTGCTGCCGCCTCTCGGACACTGCTGCTCCTCATCCCGGCCCTGCAGGTGTGCGGATGCTGGATGGTCTCATCACAGACATGGTGGAGGCTCAGTCCCTCAGCCTGCAGCCCCAGCACATCCACATCTACAGCGCCAGCTGGGGCCCCGAGGACAACGGGAAGACTGTGGATGGGCCAGGTGTGCTGGCCAGGGAGGCTTTCTACACCGGGGTCACCAAAGTAAGCTCGGTGCCAGCCCTGGGGACCTCACTGGTGTGAGAAACCCCTGCTCACCCCCGCTCTATGCCTTCCTAGGGACGGGGTGGCCTTGGCTCCATCTTCATCTGGGCCTCGGGCAACGGTGGCATCAACTATGACAACTGCAACTGTGATGGATATGCCAACAGCATCTACACCCTGTCGGTGGGCAGCGTCCTGGCGAGCGGGCAGAGGCCCCTCTACGGCGAGAGCTGCTCCGCCATCCTCACCACCACCTACAGCAGCAGGACCACCAGCGAGATGCAGATTGTGAGTGCCACGACGGCTCTGCCAGGGCAGCCAACCCTCGGGCAGCCACCAGTCCCCACCACAGACTGGGCTCACCCGAGCCCCCCTCACCCGGGGAGGGAGAGGGGGGGGCTTCATTAAAGTGTCTGTGTTAGACCCCAAAAAAGCATGAAGGGACCCAGAGGGAGCACCTACTGAAGTCACCCAACTCCAACCGGTCCTGCCCTCTGTGCCAGCAGTAGGCAATGGTGCCAAGACCCCCCCTCTCCCCCCAGGTGACCACTGACCTGCACCACCGCTGCACCGACAAGCACACAGGCACCTCCGCCTCAGCCCCGCTGGCTGCAGGGATGATCGCCCTCGCGCTGGAGGCCAAGTAGGTGCCATGCAGCAAGGGACAGTCCCCAGGGAGAGCCTGGTGCCTCCCCAGGACCCTGCAGGGACAAGGAAGGGGGAGTTTGCTAGGAGGGAGGTTTGGGGGTGCAGAGGTGAGGTCTCCCCGGGCTCTGGTGGGGCAGGAGACTGAGGGAAGAGTAGAGGCAGGAGGAGAGTTGTCCTCTGGAGGTCTCTGTTGCTCCCGTTTTGTCAGTGAAGGAGGTGG